TTTGTCGTAGTTTCCAGTTTTTTCAAACACTATACCAAGATTGTTTAAAGACCCAGCAACATCAACGTGATTTGGACCTAAAGATTGTTTTTGAATTTTCAGAGCTTTTTCATGAAACTCTATAGCTTTGTTGTAGTTTCCAATTTTTTCAAACACCGCACCAAGATTGTTTAAAGACATAGCGACATCAACATGATTTGAACCTAACGATTGTGTTTGAATTTCCAGAGCTTTTTCAAAAAACTCTATAGCTTTGTCGTATTTTCCAGTTTTTTCAAACACTATACCAAGATTGTTTATAGACCCAGCAACATCAACATAATTTGGACCTAACGATTGTTTTCGAATTTCCAGAGCTTTTTGAAAAACTCAAAAGCTTTGTCGTAGTTTCCAGTTGTATGTAACACCACACAAAGATTGTTTAATGACCTAGCGACATCAACATGATTTGGACCTAACGATTGTTTTCGAATTTCCAGAGCTTTTTCGTGAAACTCTATAGCTTTGTCGTAATTTCCAGTTTTATAAAACAGCAAACCAAGATTGTTTAAAGACATAGCGACATCAACATGATTTGGAGGTAACGATTGTTTTTGAATTTCCAGAGCTTTTTCGTGAAACTCTATAGCTTTGTCGTAGTTTCCAGTCTTTACAAACACCAAACCAAGATTGTTTAATGACCCAGCGACATCAACATGATTTGGACCTAACGATTGTTTTTTAATTTCCAGAGCTTTTTTGTAAAACTCTATAGCTTTGTCGTAGTTTCCAGTCTTTAGATACACCGTACCAAGATTGTTTAAAGACGCAGAGACATAAACATGATTTGGACCTAACGATTGTTTTTGAATTTCCAGAGATTTTTCTAAAAACTCTGTAGCTTTGTCGAAGTTTTCAGTTTTATTTAACACCGCACCAAGATTGTTTAAAGACGTAGCGACATCAACATGATTTGGACCTAACGATTGTTTTCGAATTTCCAGAGCTTTTTTGTAAAACTCTATAGCTTTGTCGTAGTTTCCAGTCTTTACAAACACCGTACCAAGATTGTTTAAAGACGCAGCGACATCAACATGATTTGGACCTAACGATTGTTTTTGAATTTCCAGAGATTTTTCTAAAAACTCTATAGCTTTGTCGTAGTTTTCAGTTTTATGTAACACCGCACCAAGATTGTTTAAAGACGCAGCGACATCAACATGATTTGGACCTAACGATTGTTTTCGAATTTCCAGAGCTTTTTTGTAAAACTCTATAGCTTTGTCGTAGTTTCCAGTCTTTACAAACACTGTACCAAGATTGTTGAAAGACGCAGCGACATCAACATGATTTGGACCTAACGATTGTTTTAGAATTTCCAGAGCTTTTCTAAAACTCTATAGCTTTGTCGTAGTTTTCAGTTTTATGTAACACGCACCAAGATTGTTTAAAGACGCAGCGACATCAACATGATTTGGACCTAACGATTGTTTTCGAATTTCCAGAGCTTTTTCGTGAACTCTATAGCTTTGTCGTAGTTTCCAGTTTTATCAAACACCAAACCAAGATTGTTTAAAGACGCAGCGACATCAACATGATTTGGACCTAACGATTGTTTTCGAATTGCCAGAGCTTTTTCATTAAACTCTATCGCTTTTACGTAGTTTCCAGTTTTATCAAACACCATTCCAAGATTGTTTAAAGACGCAGCGACATCAACATGATTTGGACCTAACGATTGTTTTTGAGCTTTTTGTAAAACTCTATAGCTTTGTCGTAGTTTCCAATATTATTATACACACTACCAAGACTGTTTAAAGACCAAGCAACATCAACATGATTTGGACCTAACGATTGTTTTCGAATTTCCAGAGCTTTTTTGAAAAACTCTAAAGCTTTGTCGTAGTTTGCAGTTTTATGTAACACCACACCAAGATTGCTTAAAGAGATAGCGACATCAACATGATTTGGACGTAACGATTGTTTTTGAATTTCCAGAGCTTTTTCGTGAAACTCTATAGCTTTGTCGTAGTTTCCAGTTTTATGTAACACCATACCAAGATTGTTTAATGACCCAGCCACATCAACATGATTTGGACCTAGCGATTGTTTTCGAATTTCCAGAGCTTTTTCGTGAACCTCTATAGCTTTGTCGTAGTTTCCAGTTTTATCAAACACCAAACCAAGATTGTTTAAAGACGCAGCGACATCAACATGATTTGGACCTAACGATTGTTTTCGAATTTCCAGAGCTTTTTCATTAAACTCTATAGCTTTATCGTAGTTTCCAGTTTTATCAAACACCATTCCAAGATTGTTTAAAGACGAAGCGACATCAACATGATTTGGACCTAACGATTTTTTTTGAATTTCCAGAGCTTTTTCGTAAAACTCTATAGCTTTGTCGTAGTTTCCAGTTTCATCAAACACCATTCCAAGATTGCTTAAAGACGCAGCGACATCAACATGATTTGGAGCTAATGATTGTTTTTCAATTTCCAGAGCTTTTTCGTAAAACTCTATAGCTTTGTCGTAGTTTCCAGTTTTATGAAACACCATTCCAAGATTGTTTAAAGACGCAGCGACATCAACATGATTTGGACCTAACGATTGTTTTCGAATTTCAAGTGCTTTTTCGAAAAACACTATAGCTTTGTCGTAGTTTCCAGTTTTAAAAAACAGAATACCAAGATTGTTTAAAGACGCAGCGACATCAACGTGATTTGGACCTAACGATTGTTTTTGAATTTCCAGAGCTTTTTCATGATGATTTTTAGCTTTGCTATATTTCCCGGTGTCTTGGTATAAAACACCGAGGATATTAAAATACCAAGCTTTGTCATAACTAGATTCTTCTGATTTAAATTTATCCAATAGTTCAAGAGCAAGATCGTATTTTCCAAAATGTCTTAATCTGTCAACAAAATATTGGAAAACTTGTAAAGTGTTCATGTTGATTTTTGACTTGTTGGTCTTTAATAATTGAACAATTTTTTCAAGATGTGGCATTAATTTTATTTCGTCGTCTCTCCCTTTAAACATGTAAAGTGCTTTAGATATTTGATCAACGTTAGTTTCCATTTCATAATCTTCATTTGAATCTTCTGATTGATAAACAACAATTGCTTTGTGAACAATGCGATGTAGACTAATGTCATTATTTTCTGAATGCAAGAACAACGAGCATTCGTCTAAACAAAGACATATATCTTCCTCAGCTTGTTTGGGATCACTTTTTTGAACATAATAAACCATAATTTCTCGTGGTAAAGGATCAAATGATATCATAGAAAAAAAGCTAATAGCCAGTGCCAATATTGACGATTCTTCTGCACTTTGTTTGACAGCTAAAAGTGAAGCTTGTAACATACTTCTAGGATATACCGAGTTAAATTTAACAAAAATGGCGTCCATGTTTTCTTCTTCTTCTGAAGATATTTTCTTTAAATATTGTCTCCAAGTAAATGAGCAGTTTTCTTTGTTTACAAGACTGACATAATAACCAGTAGCAGCCAAAGCCAGCGGTTGACGATCTAATGCGTGCGATACTTCATTCAACAATTGATCATCAGTATTTTCATCTTTAGTGTAAGAATTCAACAATTGACAACATTCTCTGTCATTTAATCCTTTACTGATAGAAATACGTTTGCTGGACAACTCATCGTGAGGTACAGCATCTGTATTCTGAACAGTTATTATTAGTTGTCCATTTTTCCACATGTGATCACCTACTTGTGGTAGTAACGAAGAAATTTCGCTCAGTTGCACAACGTTGTCGACAATTATCAACCAATTTTGCCAGAATTTCAATCGAGCAGACACTAACGAGCGAAGGTTCTTGATTTTCTCTTTGGCGGACGAATTTTCATCTTTAAATTTTTCAACCATATACTTGTTACAGTTTAAGCGGTCTCCAAGGTCACAGTAAGATTTTAAAAGAGATTCCACATTCTTCCCATCGAGAGTCATTACAAACGAAGTTTTATTTTTCCAATCACACGATATTTTTTCACAAACCTGTCTCGCCAGTTGAGATTTACCACTGCCAGGATTACCAGTGATGTAGAAATATGTCAGTTCGTTATTGTTGTCATTCCTTAATTTTTCAAGATCGTTTATGATTTTATCTTGTAATTCAGTGCGTTCAACAAAAAAATGATTGGGTTTTGAAGGAAGCACTTGGAACGAATTAAAACTGTTACGATGATTTTTTATTTTATTGATTTCATCGAGGGAAAATTTCAAATCTTGAAATGATTTTTCAATTATATTGACTATATCATCAAAATCATCATCTGAGTATTCGCTTTCATGCCAATGTGCTTCTTTGTTTCTTTCAACACGAAGTGCATCAACAGCATCCTTTGTTTTTATCAAGATGTCCCAATCGATTTTGAAAAAAGTATAGCATTGAATAATGTTGTGCAGTCCCATTTACTTGTGTCTCCCTCCTGATATTTTAATTGTAGGTTTTTATCCAACCTCCTACCCGATTCTAAAGTGCAAAATATTTTGCCACTATTTTTGGTATCATCCCATTCTCCATGTGTTGATGTGTAACGAGAGTTCCACTCTTTGATGAAAAATTGAGCAAGTTCCGTTTGTACCACATTAATTACTCTTCTGATGTAAAAAAGATTTCTGCTTTCTCTTGATTCCATCTAAAAAAGAATATGATGTATAAACAAGACAGTTAAAATCATCAATTTTGAAATTTCGACCTACATCATATATCACTCTTCGTTAAAGTCGAGGATTTACATGATGAAATCGAACTTATTTATTCGTTTATAAATTCAACTTCACCAAAAGCATGCTATTAATACAAATTTAGACATAGACAACTACTAAGTGGCAGAGATAATGCTACAGCTTTTGCCAATTACAGCAGCTTTTCAACAAAACATTAAAAGCAACATGATATTCCACTGGATAGTACATGTGACGTGTTACAAGACAGACATTGCGAGTGTTAGATTTTTATGTCTTTGGATCGTCGATGTCAAATGTCGTTTGTAATGGCGAAAATCCAAGTTAGAAATGCTAGAGATACCTCTGTACTTGACGGTAATTCTATACATCAGTTGATTGTTACTTGACAAGTTAATTCACACTTTATCTTACATACCTTAACTGACATGCGTGCCATTCAAAATTAGACTATTTAATTTAACGTGCTTTGTAGGAATTGAAACAGCAAAGAAAAAGCGCCCATCTCAAAATACTAGCATTTCTAATATGTCTGGTGAATGTTGATCAAAGTGGACTTAGTAAAGAAAAAAGCTGTATGGTTTAAAAAGTGAGAGGGGAAATAGTTCCTTCGGCAAAAAGTGAAGAGGGGACTTGTTTCTAGAGATAATTTACAATATTAAAATAACTTTGTCTTGAATTGACAAGGTGCTACGAATTTATTTTACATATCCTTGTTACTAGCACATGTTGGAAAATAAACCATCATAATAATCCAGGTCGCGTGACGTGAAGTAAAATTGATTTCTGTTAACCAATGGGATAATAGGCCAGGACTTGTTAAGAAAACTTTCATTTTTTTTAAGCGTAATCTAGTTGACTGTCGTAGCGAACTGTGATACATTATGTTCTTTAAACCTAGGACACTTTGCGTTGTAAATTCAGATTCGGGGAGGCAGGTAACTTGCGAAACACAAAATCTTTTGCCTCTAGAATTCGACATAAATTTTGAAAGCAAAACATGCAAAGATGCAAAACGTTAAAGGAATGTTACAGAATAATGCAGATCTAATACTAAATACCAAAAGATGAAAAGACTGACGCTGCTCATTGATCATTTAGGGTAAAAGGAGAAAAAAGTACAGCAAAACAAAACTGAACACCAGCATTCTTATAAATAAATATGTCAGTAATGAGGATATTTTGCATATTATTGTCTACAAAAAAAAGAACAATTTAATCTGTTATTTCCGCTACGAAGGAAAAAAGTCAGCACATTGTGCCATAAAAGATTATCAAGAAAATATTGATTTGGTGTCATTTATCACAAATAAAAAAGAATAGATTTATTTGGATAATTGATTCTGGTGCCACTTAGCATATGACGTTTGAAAATGACTATTTATCGGACTATGAAGAGTTAAGAAAGCCAACGAAAGTAATTAATGGAGATGAACGTTTAATATTGATTTATGGGAAAGGAACTTATCTCGTGGCCGTTGATTTATATAAGTCACATTAACGTATCGTAATCTGGGGCAATGTGCAACATTTCCCATTGAAAATGAAATATGTGAGCCGTTAAACGAAGCTTAAGCTTAAAAGTCAGTCAATGGCTTCTTCGTGATGTATTTTATGTAAGAAAAGTAAAATTTAACACATTTTTTTGAAACGGAGAATTCATGGCGGCCGTCAAATGAAGACACTTTGCAAGCAAATTTTAATTGGTTCGACAAAGTTCTGTTTGGTTAACAGGTATTTTGAATAATTTTGTTTAATATAGGGGGGGATCAGTTGCGTTCTAGGAACACTCCAGGGGGGCAGTCAGCTACTACTGAAAATGACCCCCAAATATATACACTTTAAAAAGGGGGTTAAAGCCTAAGCCGAGAACCTAACGTGGGAGTCGTGTTTTAGGAATCCGGGGGTAAATGCTCCCAGGGAAAATTCTTTATTAAGAAGCTCTAAAATGCAATTTCGTGGACTTTAAGGAGTGAAATCATTCTAACCGTATAAGGCCAAATGCGTTTCTCCAATACAATTTGAAAATTTGACGCACTTATTCATTACAGCGCCTCCTAAAAATCAACATCTGAGGGAGCCACGGATCCAGCCCCGTATAGCACGTCACTGAGAGGATGTTGTTGATTTAGCGTGGATGTTGTTGCTTGAACTGAATTATCGTTTTATTAAAAATGTCTTTGACAACATTTATATTTAAGATTTTAAATACAGTACTACCTTGGGAAAATGAGACTGTCGCCATATTTAGTAATGATCATAAGATACTATGTGTCTAGCGTACCTTAATGTGTTTTTTTCGTGTATGTTGTAAATTTGAAGGGACTATAAGCCAATGAAAATATTTCCTCAAATAGGTTTAATTCTTTGTTTCAAAATTGACTGCACCATAATGGAATATGTATTTGAAATCTAATTGTCGGAACTTATGTAAATAACTAATTGATAATTGTTACTAGGAATTTATGGAAGAACGGGAATAGGAACTTATGTTAATACTTTATTAGTTGTGACACGTTGAAAGTCAGGGTTCTTCTGACGCTGTGAATGTAAAAGCATGACATGTTTAAGATTATCTGTGATGTGCAATAGTTATATTGAGTAAAATTGAGAATTGTGTGTCGACTGCGCATACAGTAGGATAGTATACAGTCCCAAAAACGAATCGGCAGACGTATAACTGCTTTGTGCTAACGTGCAAAGGAGAAAATTGCTACACGTGGCTCTTCAAGTCGGAGATATTTTAGTTGGAGATCTATATGGAAATTCAAGTTTGTTAGTTCAATAGCAGAGTGGATGAATTAATGAGAAAGTAACGGGTGCGCGCAGGACATAGAAGATCAGCGAGGAAAAGTGCTAATAAATTAAAAGAGAAAATAAGAGAAACTGACGGCGAGATCGATAGAAACGAACTGAGACAACTACGAGATGGATTGAACGACAAAATCGCAACATTGAAAATCCTTAATGACGCGATTATCGATATGCTGAGCAAAAGTAATGAGGAAAATGCAGAAGAAGAATTGGGAAAAGAAATTGAAGTTACGGGCGAGATACGTGCAGAATTCAAGCAAGCAATTATGGATGTGAGCGACATCGTCAAGGAGTCTAATGTCACAGTTGAAACGGCAACAACGGCATTAAATGGCACGCTAAACAGCAGTTTGAGTAGTGAGACGCGCAGAGTTATAAGAGCAAAACTCCTAAATGTGGAAGTAAAGAAATTTAGCGGAGGGCTGCAAGAATGGCAAGAGTTTTTGGATTCGTTTGATAGTGCAGTGAATAACAATGACGGATTGGCTGACGTAGACAAATTTGCATATTTAAGGATTCATTACCCGAGCCTGCAAGATCGACAATATCGGGATTTCCCCTAACTTCAGAGAACTATCACGAAGCTGTAGGATTGTTAAAACGAAGATACGGGAAAAAGAACGTGATCAAGAAAGCGCATATCCAGGATTTAATGAATGTAAAACCCGTAACCGACGAAAGAGACATCGACAAGTTTCGGCAGTTATACGACACCTGCGAAACAAGCTACCGGAATTTAAAGGCCTTAGGAGTGGACGAAGCCGTTTATTCTTCAATTCTAATACCGGAAGTCAATGCGAAGTAGCCTGACGCTTTTCCATTGACAATAACAAGAGATTCGATTTCACGGAAATGGTCTATGAAAGATGCGTTAAACGCAATTCTTAAAAAGTTGGAGTTTCGAGAAGCTCACACATTGATCGGCGAGAAAACCAAAAGATAGGATGGGGAGAAACAACGAGAAAAGTCGCGACAAAGACATATGGGGTCAACATCAACACTGCACGCGAAGCCTGAGAGTTGCAACTAGGTGTCAAGGAACGGTAAAGCGAAAAGAAAATGCGTTTATTGTCTCGGGGAACACAGAGGAATGTAAGAAAATAACCACTGTAACTGAGAGAAAACAACTCATTCGTAAGTACGGAAGACGTTTTATTTGCTTGAAGAAAGGACATGTCAGTAAGAATAGTAATGATAAATGTAATGCATGTGGGAAGGCACACCATAGGTCAACTGTGAAACCAATGGGATTCTTACAGGTCATATTTAAACCAACCATTCTTTTCTGGGATCTCATTGTAGGATAGCATTACAGACAGCACAGGCTTTTATTATAGGAGATAAGGGACGTGTTAGGGTCAGAGTGTTATTTGATTCAAGAAGTCACAAGTCATTTGTGAATAGAAAGATTATACAGGGAGCAGGTATTCAGGCTAGTAGGAAATAATGGATAGAAATCAAGCCTTTTTCTTAAGAGAAGGCTAAAGGTAAGTTGCGAGAGTTGTCAGTTACAAAGGGAGAGAGTGTAAGCATCGAGGCATATAGTGTAGACTGTATATCTCAAATTAGGAATGAACATGTAAAGTTAAGAAAGATGGATTATTCACATTTAAAGGGTCTGTGGTTTTCAGATGTTTGCAAGGATAAGGAAGTTTTAGATATTGAAGTTCTGATTGGAGCAGATTATCATTGGTGGTTTCAGGAAGGCAATGTTGTTTTGGGGCAGGTAGATGAGCCAGTTTCTGTGTTTGCTAAGTTAGGTTGGGTGTTGTCCGGCCTCATGAAAGCGAGAATTGATTTGGATAACATGCACACTCAAGTAAACTTCATTGCGCATGAAAGTTCAGGAAGTTTAAGTTTAGATAAGAACTTCAACCGTTTGTGGGATTTTGAAACTTTAGGAATAGCAGATGAATATGAAGTTCATAAATCTTTAAGGGATTCTATTATGTTTAATGGTAACTAATACAGTGCCATATTGCCTTGGAAAGAAGGACATAGTTTAGATTACACAAATTACAGCATAAGCTTAAGAAGATTAAAGGTCAGTTAGTACAGCTGAAAAGGTAACCAGAAATGGTAACCAGAAGGTAACCAGAAGAGTATGATAAGACAATCATAGATCAATTGAGGAAGGGTATTATAGAACCAGTGATAGAACTGGAGCAAGCTAATAAAATACATTATTTATCGCATCATGCAGTTATTCGCAGGGAAGCAAAACAACTCAGATAAGAGTTGTTTATGATGCATCGTGTAAAGAGTCACCCAAGGCTTCCTCGCTCAATGACTTCTTGCATGTGGGACCCAAATCAGCACCATTGCTCTTTCATGTTTTGATAAAGTTTAGAGAGAAGAGAGTCGCTTTAGTGGCAGATATTGAAAACGCATTTTTGAATATAGAATTTGATACTTTGGACAGGGACTGCCTAAGATTTTTATGGATTGATGACATAAACATCGAGAGAGTGAAACCTGTAGAATACCGATTTTGTAGAGTAGTGTTTGGGGTTAACTGCTCTCCATTTTTGTTGAATGTAACTCTGCAGTATCATTTAGACTTATTCATAGAGATAGACAAGGAATGTGTTAAAAAATTCAGAGATAGCTTTTATGTCGATTATCCTGTGTCTGAAGAAAAATCCAAGAAAAAAGTAATAAGGTTGTATGAGTCAGTAAGTGAGCGATTGGCTGCGGGAGGATTAAGGCTTATGAAATGGCGATGAGAATGTTTTGAAAGAAATAGAAACAAGAGAAAGAAGAATTTTAGAGGAAAGAAGGGCAGAATTTAGTAATTCGAAGTGGTTAATTAGCAAACTTATGCCAAAGCATCAGTTGGAGAAAATAGTATCAGTGGAAGTTTTGAGAAAGTACTAAGATTGGGATGGGAGTGTACAAGTCCAATCACTTTGTAATTAGCCTCTGGAAATTGGCTGAAAGAGCAAAGGCAATCATCCCAAGTAAACAAAATATACTAAGTATACTTGCAGGATTATTCGATCCCTTAGTTATTATAAGTCCAGTTGTAGTTTGTGCTAAGTTATTGTTTCAGGAGCTGTGTATTGAGAAAGCTGAATGAGATAATGAGCTGGAAGGTGACAAGAAAAACGTTGGGAGAGATGGATAGTAGATTTAGAGAGAGTCAGGGATTTAGTTGTGGCGAGATGTGTGAATGGTAATTTACTTGGTAAGGTAAAGTGTTACTTGCATGGGTACGCAGATGCCAGCCAAAAGGCATGCTGTGCGATCGTATATTTTGTGACAGAGATAAATGGTGCCTACCACGTAGAGTTGCTTACGTCGAAAACAAGGATAGTGCCAATAAAGTTGCAGACAATTCCCACACTATTAGTGATGTCAGCTAGAATATTAGCACAGTTGGTGGACACAGTGAAGTTGGCCATAGAAGGTTACGTTCAATTTAATGGTACATACTGTTGGTTGGACAGTATGACTGCATTGAGCTGGATGGGTAATAGGGGAGAATGGAAAAAGTTTGTGCGCCATAGAGTTAAGGAGATTTTAAGATTGAGCAGGAAGGATAATTGGAAACACTGTCCTGGTGTAGACAACCCTGCGGACTTAGGTTCATGGGGGTTTATGGCATTACAATTCAAGGAAAGTAAACTTTGGTGGAAGGAACCGAAGTAGTTGTCAGGTCCCCAGTGTGATTGGCCAATGCCAAAAGAGGTTAAAACTTCAGAAGAAAGTCTTGGGGAAGCCGGAAGACAGTATTGGCTAACACACAAGTGGTTGATAAAGATTGTGTGATGAAATTTGCCAAATTTAGTCAAATTAAAGTACGCATCGCATTATTTTCCTGCTGTGTTACAAGAACAATTTGTCTTGATTTAGTTGATAGTTTAAGTGCACGTTGTTTTTTGAATAGCATGCGAAGATTTACTGCTAAATTGGAAGCAGCCTCGCTAATTGTTTCGGACAAAGCCAAAATATTTAAAGCAACTGAGAAAGCATTGAAGGGAAATTATCGAAGTAAGGAGGTAAAATTATGATTGGAAGACAATCAGTTAATATGGAACTTTAATTTGGCGAGGACAATCTGGTGGGGTGGATTTTTTGAAAGAATGGCAGCATTGGTGAAAGGCTGTCTGAGGAAGGTGTTGGGTAACGCTAAATTGAACAAGGAAGAATTGTTAACAATATTAGTTGAGGTACAAGGTACGTTAAACTCTTGACTATTGACTATGTATATGAAGATGAAGTGAATGTAGATGTACTGACTCCTGCGCATCTTATGTTTGGAAGAGGATAAATATCTATTCCAGACGAAAGAACTCAGCATACTATTAACGACGTATTTAGCGAAATTGAGAAAGCATTTTTGGTCCAGGTGAAGGAAGGAATGCTTAACAAGTTGGAGGTAGTGTCATAAGAATGGAAAAGTTAAGGTAGTTTGTGTCCGAAAGTAGGTGATGTGGTTCTTGTGTTTGAGAAAATTTTGAAAGGAGGATTTTGGAAAATAGCAAGAATCGAGAGTTTGATCAAGGGAAAAGATAATATAGTTAGAGGAGCGGAAGTTAAAGTTGTTAGCAAGGGAAAGCCACTGCACATAAGCAGGCCTCTTCAGAAACTGTATCCACTAAAGATGGATGCAAAGGTACGTAAAGAAAATTCAGCGTCCTACATGTAGAAAATACAATCATGCTATTCTTCCCCATACTTTTGAACAGGTTTCACAGTTACCTATCATGCAGCTTATGGTCAATAGTTAAAAGTTTGTATATCAACTTTGATATGATTTCTCATGCATGTTTATTCATACTTTATCTAGATTATTCTTTAGCTAATTTTTAGGTCGGCTAATGTAGATATAAATCTCGCTTTATTTTTGTAAAATTACCTTTGTTTTAGAAGTAAGACTTCATATCTGTCGATCTCGTCGTCCAAATTAAGCTTGCTTTACTTCTTTATATGTCACATACCTAACAAAAGATGAGAGATTTAATATAAAGAACGAAGATGAAGAGTAAGACAGGATCTCCTTAAATTTTATAAAACGTTAATGACATCTCTGTAGAACATTCAAATTCTATATCTACGTGTACATCACTACTAAAACAATTGTTATTGAAATAAAAATACATAAATAAGAATCATACAGAGTACATAATAACATTGAAATGAGTCAAATTCCAAAGGACTACTTTAAATAATATAAAGTTTAACAAGTTTAAATTCAGGAATAAAGGATCACCTTTCTAAAATAGGATTTGAATGTCAATGCATGATTAAGACACAATTTTTTAAAACTTTAAATCGATTTTTCACTTAGCTAATCATACATTCCATACATGTATATTATTGCAAAAGTCAGTTCATATAATATAAAGACCTTTGTTATGGAATAACCCATTGTAAATTATCAGTAAAGGATGCAATGGAATAACCCATTGTAAATTATCCAGTAAAGAATGCAATGAAAGTAAACTTTAACACTGTTAAACTAACATATGATCTAAAGTATAGTTTTGAAAGCTCTGTGTTGCATAAATCAACATTTTAAAAATAGATTCGGTCGAGTTCTTCCTCTGTGTGTAAATACATTCTTCCTGTGTTTAACTTTTGCTTATTTTTCAAATTTTCTTATTTCTAAAAGAAATGGTTTGTTGTATACAACTATCAACATTTTGCTAGACACACAGAGATTAGTCAAAAGTGGCGTCGGCAAAAATGGAGGTGATGCATGATTGGACATGCTATCCTCCCTACATAAATTTTAACATATTCCCATTTTTCCACAAACAAGTATGCTATTTCACTCTCATACCTTTGAAAAGGTTTTGC